ACCATCCGACTCATGACCTCGAGCTTGCAGCCGTAGTATTTTCCCTTAAGATTTGGAGACACTACTTGTATAGTGTTCACGTAGATGTGTTCACAAACCATAAGACCCTTCAGTATGTGTTCACCCAGAAATAGTTGAATTTTCGCCAGAGGAGATGGCTTGAGTTCCTCAAGGACTATGATATGAATATGATTTACCATCCTGGTAAGGCCAATGTAGTAGCAAATTCTCTTAGCAGACTATCTATGGGTAGTGTCGCACATGTTGAGGAAGAAAGGAAAGAACTAGTGAAAGATGTTCACCATCTTGCTCACTTAGGTATTTGCCTTATGAGCATATCAAATAGTGCAAAACGGGTCAGAATCTTCATTGGTAGCTTGAGGTTAAGGGAAAAAAAGACAGTGATTCTATATTGCTTCAACTAAAGGGTGCAGTTCATCAGCAGAGAGTTGAGGTTTTCTCCCAAGGAGGATATGGTGTGCTTCGCTATCAGGGTCGTTTATGTGTTCCTAAGGTGGGTGAGTTAAGAAAGGAGATTCTTGCAGAAGCCCATAACTCCATGAATTCTATTTATCCAGGTGCCACTAAGATGTACGGTGATCTGCAGGAAGTCTTTTGGTGGAATGGCATGAAGAGGGATATAGCAGATTTTGTGGCTAAGTGCCCTAATTGTCAGCTAGTGAAGGTAGAACATCAGAAACTAGGGGGTATGACTCAAGAGATCAACATTCCTACATGAATTGGGAAGTGATAAACATGGACTTCATTACAGGTTTACCTTGTACTCGCAGACAGCATGACTCCATTTGGGTGATAGTTGACAGAGTTACTAAGTCTGCTCACTTTTTGGCTGCCAAGACTACAAACTCGGAGGAGGACTACGCCAAGATTTACATTAATGAGGTAGTCAGGTTGCATGGGGTTCCTTTGTCTATCATCTCAGATAGAGGTCCTCAGTTTACCTCTCATTTTTTGGAAGTCATTTCAAAAAGGTCTTGGTACTCAGGTTAATCTCAGCACAACATTTCATCCACAGACGGATGGTCAGGCAGAGCATACTATTCAGACCTTAGAGGACATGTTGAGAGCTTGCGTGATCAACTTCAAGGGTAGTTGGGATGATCACCTTCCTCTTATAGAGTTCGCCTACAATAATAGTTACCATTCCAGCATTCAGATGTCCCCTTATGAGGCATTATATGGGCATAGAAGTAGATCTCCAGTTAGTTGGTTTGAAGTAGGTGAAGCAACCTTGATAGGGCTAGATTCGGTTCATGATTCTATGGAAAAAGTTCAGCTCATCAGAGATAGACTAAAGTCAGCCCAGAGTCGCCAGAAATCCTATGTAGATGTAAGGAAAAGGGACTTAGATTTCCAAATTGATGATTGGGTTTTCCTGGAAGTGTCACCTATGAAAGGGGTGATGAGATTTGGCAAGAAAGGGAAGCTCAGTCCTAGATATGTAGGCCCTTACATGATCTTGAAAAATGTTGGTAAAATGGCTTATGAGTTAGAGTTGCTAGCAGAACTAGCAGTAGTCCATCCGGTCTTTCACATTCGTTGTTGAAGAAGTGTGTGGGTGATCCAACATCTATAGTACCATTGAAAAGTGTGGTTGTGAAGGATAGTCTCACTTATGAGGATGTGCCAGTTGAGATTCTTAATCGTCAGGTTCGAAGGTTGAGAAATAAAGAAGTCGCTTTAGTTAAGGTATTGTGGAGAAGTCAGTCCGTAGAGGGAGCTACTTGGGAAGCAGAAGCAACTATGAAGGCCAAGTATCCTTATCTCTTTCCTTCCGATTCCATTCCAGCTTGAGGTAATAGTTCCTCTCTAGTCTTTCAGTTACTCATGCGTAAATTCAGTCTTCGTATTATGGTCCTTCAGTTAGTCTTGCATTTTCAGATTATTTACATGTCCTTGGAACTTAGTTCAGTCTGATTTCAGTTCCAGTACTTAATGGTAGGGTTTGCAACTCTTTCCCTCATTTTTCAGCTAGTTTAGTCTTCATTCGAGGATGAATGTTCCCAAGAGGGAGATAATGTAACACCCCGTATCCTAGACAAACCAGAATGCAGATTTCAGAAGTTGCAGGTGCCACGACGGGCACCACCCACGGACCGTAGGTGGGGTCCGTGGATGGCCACCTGCAGCTCCCTCTCAGAACCCAGGAGAAAATATTCTAAAGGTCAACCCATGGCCGGACCTACGGACTGTAGGTCAGACCATGGGTCGTGGTCCTGGTCCATGGATCGAGACCCCACATCCCAGTCTCTGAAGCCAAATGACGGTTGACCAGGACAGATCGTGGGTCCATCGACAGTCCGTCGGTGGCCCCAACAGCTTTTAAGTCAGGGGTTGTTTGGTTTTTTCCCTATGCGTTGGACCCCTAAACTATGTCGTTTAACCCCTAAACTACGTCGTTTTAGCCAGTTTTAGCCTAGTAACTTAATTAGAACTTACCCTAGTCAACTCATTCTCCAAAAAATCATCAACTTGAACGAAAAGAAGGAGAAAGAGTCGACCAACCCTCTCCAAGAACGCAGAAAGATTTTCTTCTGTTCCAACCCCGAAATCGAAAGATTTCTCCGTGGAATTCATCACCAGGTATGTGGGATTTCACTAGTGGGTTCCTTTCACCCATTAGGCCCCTAGAATTCAGTCAGATTCTTGATTCCCTTTTATCATGTTTAGATCTAGGGTTTCTAGAACTTCAGAATATTGTTATGATTTAGCTGTTAGACTAATCCAAATCAAATTATCATGTTTTTGAGGAATTGTTGCTTAGTTCTTGCATGAAACTCAGAACCCTAGTTGTGTAGATGCGTTTTAGTTCATGAATTACACTTGCTAGGTCAGTTTTATTCAGATATACATGCCTCAGTTAAGAATGTTTCATTATCAGTATATTAATGTTGCATTTTCAGTTAGCATGTCAGTATTTTGAGCTATTCAGTATTACAGAATTCATTATAATGTGTTACTTACATAATCAGTTGGGAGTAGGCTTAATATCGAGTGGACTAAGAGTCAGTCACTCTCATAGTCCCAGAACTACGTGCCCCCGTAGGATAAGTCCCCTCTGTGGGTAACATATTTATTGATCACGTCAGTCATGCCTTTATACCCCCTGGCAAGGTATATTGGGTTCTCTCGATGGGGAAATACATTGGACTCCACAGATAGCTCTCGTGGTTTTATGTCGGTTAACAGTAGCTCCCACAGTCAGATTGTAGTGCATTGACCAGGTTATCAGTTACAGTTCAGTATTCAGTCTCAACTTGTCATGTACTTGGTCATTGCATTCAGTTAGTTCAGTATTCAGTATATTTCAGTATTTACATCATGTTCAGATTATGTCATTGCTCGTATTGCTTTGTTCAGTTATGTATATGTTATTCAGCTTTATCCTATCCTGCATGCGCAGTACCTTCCAAGTGCTGATGCATACTCTAAGCTACATCTTCTCGTGATGTAGGTTCAGGTCCTCAGCATTCAGAGGACGCATAGATCGGTTCCCGATCTCCAGTTCAGCAACATCAGTGGTGAGTCCTCATTCTTCGAGGACGATTGACATGTTATCTTTCTATTTTCAGTCTTTCAATTTCAGTTTTGCTATAGTTAGCTGGGGCATGTCCCAGCAACTCTAGTCAGTAGAGGCTTTATTCAGACATAGTAGATTCAGTTTTAGCTTGAGTTTGATCTTTCAATTGTCATTAAACTCAGGTTTTATATATTGAGATTTAGAATGGGTATCCCCATCATTTTTCCCTTTATGTCATGATTAAGTTGCCGCTCAGTATGTCTATTTTTCAGTAAATCTTTAAGTATGCTTATGATATGTCAGCAGGGTTAGCTTGGGGTCATTCGTGATCCTAGGTCCCGTGTCCGCGTCCTGGAGGTAGCCTTGGGGAGTGACAGCCTCTCACCTCCCTCTCCCGATCTCGCTCACCTCTCTCCTCTTAGTAAATATTTATTTTGATACAAGTCAATTTGTATTTATATATTTTTCTCCAAAATCCGCGAAAAAATACACTCTCTCCTCTCTCTCCCAGATGTCGCTCGCCTTTCTCCTCCGCCTCCCCTAAAATTTTGCTGTTATTCATAATTAAGCCAACTATAGTTATAGAATCCTATTTAAGGCCCAATGTTTGCTATTTTTGAAAGTTTTCCATTATAAAAAGGTAGGGTAAAAGATAAAAGAAAAGATTATTGAATAACAAATAAGAAAAAATTTTAAAAATTAAAATACCGCAATCACTCCAAATTAATCTTTATTTAAAATGAGGCTTTTCGTTGTTAGTTAAGCATAAATTTAAATGATACGATATTTTTTTTAATTAATATAATCAAAATAAAAATTGGTCCAAGAGATGCTCATGTTTTATGGTCCCTGCCGTGCGTAACCTAATTTAACAAAAAACGATGCCGTTTGGCATTTTATTTGAACTGTGTCAAGATGCTAGATGTTTCTCTTCATTACCGAT